TTAACGTCCTCCAAGGCGTTTAAATCATAATTGATTTGGTTGTTGCATGTTGTGTTGCATCGGAGAATTTTGCTTTTTCCTTTATGTATGTTGAGACCTACTGCTGCAGAGACTGCTGCTACACTGGTCGTCTTCTCTTGCATTTGTTGTTGTGTGTGCGATAGAATAGCCTGGTCATCTGAGAAGTCCAGATCTTCCAGCTGCGTCCTAACTGTCCAGTTGATACCGTGCTTCCCTCCAGATGTTGACGTCTTCATAATCCAGTCGATGACCAGGAGAAAGAGAAAGGGTGAGAGTAAGCAACCTTGCCTGACACCGGTCTTCACCTCAAACGAGTTTGTCAGCTGACCTTCGTGCACGATTTTGCAGTTGAATCCATCGTAAGAATTCCGTATGATGTTGACTATATTCTCAGGCACACCATAGTGTCGAAGAAGCCTCCACAGTGTTTTCCTCCCCACTCTATGGAACGCTTTCTCGTAGTCGATGAAGTTGATGTAGAGTGGTGAATTCCATTCAATTGAATGTTTCACTATGATCCGAAATGTAGCAATTTGGTCAGTACACGATTGATCCTTACGAAATCCAGCCTGTTGATCTCGAAGTTTTATGTCTACGAAGTCCTTCATTCTGTTTAACAATACCCTGTTGAGGACTTTGCCTGGTATTGTGAGAAGAGTGATGCTTCTGTAGTTCTCACACTTGCTCAGGTCGCCTTTCTTTGGTATTTTGATCAGGTACCCTTCTTTCCAATCTGATGGTACTTGTTCCTCATCCCAAATCTTCTTGAAGAGAATGTGAAATATTTTCGCAGTTGTTTCTACATCTGCTTTCATTGCCTCTGCTGGAATGTTGTCTGGTCCTGCTGCATTGCCGCTCTTGATTTGTCTGATGGCCATACTGATCTCCTCAATCGTAGGTGCGCCAATATTAATTGGGAGGTCCGTGGATGCTGCTTCGATGTTGGGTGTGTTCAGTGGAGCTGGTCGATTCAGGAGGTCCTGAAAGAGCTCTAGTCACCTATCTCGCTGTTGTTCAGTGTCGCTGATTACTTTGCCTTCCTTGCTTTTCACTGGTCGTTCTGGTTTACGATAGTTTCCGGCGAGCTTCTTTGTTGTTTCGTACAATTGTCTCAAGTTTCCGTCTCTTGCAACCTTTTCCGCCGTCATTGCTGGATATTCCACATATTTTCGTTTGTCAGCTCTGATGTTCTTCTTCACTTCCCTGTTTGCTTCCGTGTATGCAGCTTGTGCTTTAACTTTCTCTGCTCTTGTTCGGCTGACATTCACTGCTGCCTTCTTGTTCCTCCTTTCTTGAATTTTTTCAAGAGTACCAACAGAGATCCATTCCTTGTGATGGTGCTTCTTGCGACCAAGGACCTCCTGACATGTTGGAGTGATTGCCTCCTTAATCCCTTTCCAATTTTACTCCAATGTTGCTTCCTCTCCACTGAGTAGATCCTGAAAGGCCTGGAACCTATTGGTAAGGGCTATCTTGAATTCGTTGAGTTTTACGGTATCCCGAAGAAAGGCCGTATTAAACTTGTGTGATGTTGTCTGCCCCGCTGTCCAGTGCTTCTTTAGCTTCAGTTTCATTTTGGCGATCAGCAAGTGGTGATCTGAGTCTATATCAGCTCCTCTCTTGGTTCTCACATCCTCCATGGTCCTTCTGAAAGTTTAGTTGATACAGATATGGTCAATTTGGTTTTGAGTAGTGTGGTCCGGTGAAATCCATCTGGCTTTGTGAATGCGTTTGTGCGGGAATATTGTGCCACCGATGACCAGTTTGTTGAAGGCACATAGGTTTGCAAATCTTTCACCGTTTTTGTTTCTTTTTCCCAGTCCATGTCGTCCCATGATGTCTTCATATCCAGTGTTATCCATTCCAACCTTGGCATACAGGTTTCCCATAAGAATCGTCAAATACTTTGGTGAACATTTCTCGACGATTGACTGCAGTCTTTCGTAGAATTGATCTTTAACGTCCTCATTGTAGTCGTTGGTAGGTGCATAACATTGGATGACGTTCATTGTAATGTCCTGTTTCTTTGTTTTGAAGGATGCTTTAATGATCCTATGTCCATGAGATTCCCATCCTATCAGTGCCTTTCGTGCATGTTTGGACAGCATCAGTGCAAGTCCTTGTGTATGTGAAGCATTTTCCTCTTCATGACCAGAGTATAACAGCAGTTCCTCTGAAGCTAGTCTCAGTTGTCCTACCTGTATCCAGTGCGTTTCACTGATGCCGAGCACCTCGAGGTTGTATCTTTTCATTTCTGCCGCAACTTGAAATAGTCTTCCAGTCTCCCACAATGTACGAACGTTCCATGTACCTAAAAGAATGGTTGCTCTGGTTGTCAGAAGAGGCATCGGCCCCGTGACTTCCGAGGGAACTCGGCTTTCATCACGAGACGTCATAATTCTTCTTCCAACTCCCAGGGCAGAGTTAAAATGGTTTGAATTATTTTTTCTGGTTAGCGTTTTTTTGGCAAGTTAGTTTTTGACGGAATGGGGTCGCCAACCCCATGTCCAACCTTCCTCCTTTATCCGTGCTTGGGACCGTCAGTAGCCCCTAAGGTTCTACTGGCGGAGTTAATGTTCCACTGGTTATCCATATATAAAAAAAATATTCTGCTAACGAGATTGTTATGATTTATCTGATATAGTTTGAACTAATTCAAACAGCTTGTGTTTTTCTTTTTTTCTCAATAAATTAACCACGGTCATGACTATATTTTATCGACACAATGTGCTCATTTTAAAAATCGTTTAATACTCTTTTTCTTATTAATTTTGAATGATCTTGTTCATAGCCATCTATTTTTTACCATCGATGATACAGTTTTTAGTGTTTACTGGTGGGGGGGGGGGTTGGAGCTGTTATAGCACCTCACATCCATTTGAGTTTCTTTAAATTATTCGATCATAGTGTCAACTATTTTTTGTATTTTTAAAATAATTCGATAACAGCATCGACTATGTGGCTTCTTATTACCGCCGTCACACAAACGGGGTCCACCTAAACATGATTTATGGAAATGGAAAGGAAGATTTATTTCATCGTCCAAACTGGAGTCAAATCTTGGGCCGCCATATGTTACTAATCCTACTAGGATTATTACGATGACATTTTCCATATAGTTTCTATAAGTCGAATTGATGATATTGACATAATGTGCCAAGAAGTTCTATGTTTTTGTTTATGAATTGATCGATTATCGGTTTAGTGATAACAACATGAGGTAATTACTTCATACAGTTTCGTGGGATGATAGTTAATTTTAACGTGACAGGGAAAAAACATACAGCAACTGAAATCATTGTATTTTGATAACTTTCAAGGGGACAATCATAAATGTACTGAATGAATTGAATGAGCATTCCTCTATGAGAATCACCGAATAGAAAATGTTGAGATTAGGCTGCTTGTTTCGAACAGTTGAATGAGTAATAGCGATATCAGCTAAGATATTACGGCACTATATCTCCACCTTTTTCCAACTGTATTATCTGTTTCGCAAACAAACTGACAAAAGCCTATCATGTGAGGTAGATCGAATTGCTATGTTTTTTTGTATGATGTGGTGACTGAGTATAATTACTGGAGGCTATGAATAAAGATTTGGCTTAGTTGCTTGGTTGGTTTGTTATTAGAATGTGGTGAATGGTTGGTTGACCCTGAGATTGCATTTCCCACCCGGAAAGTCCTTGACTGTCATTGGTTGATGTGTTATTTTAGTACGTTGTTTTTGTGGCTCCCCTAAAGACGTTTCTATCATGTATAAATAAACTCGATTTTTGTGCTTGAAAAACCTCATATTTTCTGGGTGCTTGTAGAATACACTTTCTAAGTCTTCTCAAGACTTCTTCCTCTACTTTGAGGCCTTGGGACGCTTGGATTAGAGCAGCCTATCGTGTCACAGGATCATTTCTCTTGGCTCTTGTTTACCGACTAAGGTAAACTCGTAATAGTTTCAAGCATATCAATTGACGATGAGCGTAACAGAAGTACTTGGCTTCCTACGGTAGATCAGGGTTCAAACGCTGCTTCATGCTCTCCAGTTTCGGTAGACGGTCGTTATCACTGTTCATCATATAATAATCTAGTCAGCACCCATTTCATCTTATATGCTACTGACTGGTCTAGGATTAGGATGCACACGTATTACACTATCAGGACAGAATACCAATTCATTGTGTCACTTAGCATTCAGCCAATAGGTCCTCAGTTTAAATTCTATCTCAACTACGCTAATCTGAGCTGGGGTGATAGTGTCAGTAGCCAACATTAAAATAATATGGCTCATAGCTACGTTATTATGTGTATAAATGATTTATATTATTTTCATGCATCATTTAGTGTACATTCGTGTTAAATGATATGCTGTAGACCATTTCACATTAATATCAAACTAATTTATCTAATAGTTTTGCAATGACAATGTGATACACATCAGTTCGCTCTCAATTTTCAAGTATTTCTTTGAGATCGTATCATTCTTTCAGTATACATTATCTAGGTTACATCTTATATTTGGAATTCGTCAGTTGAGAATGTCCATGCATCGAAATGTTGATGTTCACAATAAGACTTCATATCCAACACTTTATTTTACTCAGTTCAAATAATCATCAACTTATTGAAAAGGGTATGATGTTTACTCGTGAAGGTTTTTCAATTATCCTGTTATTATTATTATGATTCAAGGTTGTAATTCAATCAGTATTCTCTTTTTATTTACTTGATTCTATTGATTTTCATTTGTTCTAATTCATTTCTCATCGCATCATCTCAATTTGATTCCATTAAGAGTTTTCTTTTTTGTCTTAAGAAAATTACAAATGGTGTATTATTTGCTTAATTATCTTATTTTTCAGTGTTTCCATTCTCTTATCATGCATAAATCATTATAACAACCAAAACTGTCTTGTTCTGTTGATGTCTACATTGTTGATTGCTTTTATATATATATATATTTTTTTCATTTGTTGTTTCTCCAGTGCAAATCCTTTGTCCAGCCTACATCATGGTCCAGATTCTCCAGCCAGTGCTTCACAATCGGATATATTACTCGGTGATATGGAGTCGAATTTTGAATTTATTAGAGTATGTACTTTTTGGCAGAGGAAAAATAAAACATGATCATTATGCATAGATTAGTTATAAGCAATAAAATAAAATCTGGCCAATTGCCACACCGTATAAACATAGTAAGATGAAATATACAATACCAAATCTGTAATTCCATGAAGTAATAAGAATTTCAGTGGTAAAAGAAAATTGTTAAGCATATGTACATTATGATTGGATGAAAAAGAATGAATCTGTACAATGAGAATGTATTAAATTATTACCGAATTCGAAATCTAAAAGAATACATTCTCATGTCATGTAAACGGGTTGCAATTTATGCCCTAAGACGTTCTCATCCATTAATTACGATAATCACTTGGCCCCCACCCAACCAGCGAGTCTTCAACCACTAAACAGTTGGTCACTTCGTAGACTAGTGATTTTAGTTTGATCTTCCCAAGTTGTTTTGCGTGGAGAACTACGAAAGCCTATATCCACAAGATACAAGTATTTTTGAACAGTTGTCTTCGCAACATACTTCGTATTCGTTGGCCAGACTCTAACAACAACAACTTTCTGTGGGAGGGAACAAACCATATTCCAATGGAGGAGGAAATGAGGAATAAGCGGTGGAAGTGGATAGGACACACTCTGCGAAAAGCACTTAACTGCGTCACAGAACAAGCCCTCATGTGGAACCCTCAAGGTAAAAGGAAAAGAGGAAGGCGAAGGAACACATTACGCCGAGAAATAGAGAAAGATATGAGAAGAATGAACAAACATTGGACAGAACTAGAAAGGGAAGCCCAGGACAGAGTCAGTTAGTGAAAACTGGTGGGTGGCCTATGCATTATTGGGGGTGACAGGCGTAAGTAAGTAAGTAGGTTTTCTTCCAACCTGCTCCATCGGACGTCGATGTCGATGGTGGTTGGATGTGTGTGCGTGTGTGTGTGATACATGTACCAACCATCTTAGGTGATCAACAACATTCACGGTGTATTATCAACCAAGTTTTAGTCTAGTACTGTATGTATGTTCACCTGTTAATTTCAATACATGAAAATAATGAAATCTCTATTGTAACATTTATTTGTAATCTATTTTGTCCGTTTACTTCTGGTTTTCCCTCCACTTTTAAAAATGATTTTTTTTCTCTCCTAACTGAATAATTCATCTCCACATCTTTTGTTTGTTTGTTTTTTTTCTCCTACTTTTTCACGATTTCACTTTGAAATGAAGGATCAAATGAGACGAATGGAAGAACGTGTAGAAGATCTAAAAATTAACAGAAACAATGAAAGTGAAACACGTTTAGATCGTTTACGCGACGAGAATGCTCGATTAACCGCACAAATCACTGTTTTAGAAGAACGTCTTAAAGAGTCCGATGCAAGATCGAATCGTGCATTAGAAGCTGAACGACAGCATATGCAATCAATTTTGGTTAGTTGGCTAAGACACTTTATATATATATATATATATATATCAATGAATAAGGCAACACAATTTACGTTGTTACTCAATAATTATGTACACAATGAATTGACTTACATATGACAACCACTCATAGAGTGATAGCGCCGGATAGTAGTTTTGTTCATCCGGATGTTTCGAACTCTTTCCCAATTATGTGTGTGTATGTTCTTAATCTTTCATCAATCCATCGTTCAAACCTCCTCAACATGTTGTGAATGGGTTACCTTTAAACTACTACTGAACAATAGTGTTGTTTCAGTGATTAAGGTGGTCAACTTTCAGCTACTAAGTTGCAGGTTGCTTTGCAATATTATTGGGCATAAAACATGCATACTTTTTTCCTACATTTAACAATATTTATTGTCATTATAGAGATTGGTCATAAAAATGGACAGAACTTATTAATATGCATAGGGTGAAGTTTTCCTACTTTTAGAAATCTTACTGCCAATAATATTTTGCTCAGTATGTCATGCAATCGGTATGTATGTAAATGTGTACATAACATGATTGTGTGTGTGTGTGTGCGTATGTGTAACGGCTTCTCATAATGTGCATGCAATAGACGATGAATTTACGTGACGTATTCGCCTAGTTCGCCTATTGTTGTTCTGTTTATTTATTGTATGGAAGACATTGAATTCTGGTTACTAGTAGTAATCATCATTTTCTACATAAATTATTGGATAATGATGATAAAAGGAAAAAAAATTTAAACTGGTTACTTTCTCCCTCCATTAAACATTAATTATTTGTATGAAAATTGCTGTTGAATAATGAATGATATAGGCGTATTGTTGAAGTGAAGTGATTTTTGTTAAACTGTGCTTTGGGTGCAAAGCTACTGACTAATGATTTGGATGCCTGATGATGACACATGTTTCACCCCGATGTGATTGTCACGTATACAATTTCGGAAATTTTCTAACTAGCTTTTAGCTCTTATGCTCGAAACACTGATTATCGGTTGGGTTTGATGGTGTACTTAGAGGCCTCCACCTCGTTAGGTGTACCAGTGTTTATTAACATGGAAGCTCTCAAAAACTCAGTTAGAATATCATTGAAATCACAAACCCATCTAAGTGGGACAACTATAATTGCCGACAACTGTTTCGTCCAAGTTTAGGACTCCTCAACGGTGCTATCCACAACTATGCAATCAGGAGTCGGACCCAAGACCTTTAGTCTCGTTCGTGAATCTTCAACCTTCAGGTTACTGAGCCGTGATCCAGTGATGCCCATTCCTAACTTCAGCCAGTCCACAATATTGTACGACCGTCTATTGTTTTCGCTGCATACTTTTCTCACACGAGACACCGTTGAACGTGATGGGTTACCGCTTTCCATAAGAACTCTGTAAGTTTCTCTTCGAAGCTAGTCAACAGTGAACACATAATCAATATTAGTTAGATGAAGTTCGCTTCGAAGTTCTCCGTTCTACGTTCTTAGCGTCATTATATATTTTTCTTGACAAAATGTATGTAATTGATTGTACACTTTTCTCATTGATGAAAAATTTCTCACTCCTAATTGTAGTTCATTTGAATTAGAAAATTTTTAAGCTTCAATTCTCATTTGCGCACACAATAACCATTAAACTGTTTCACAGGGAGTCCAATAAAATTCAGTCCCAATATAAAGCGATATATTTTTTCGATGCTGGATATTTTGATTGAAGTCTATAGTTAACCGTGATTTGCGATTGGTTGATAGCTAATATTGATCGCTTATCAGTTTTTTTCCCCGATCAATTTAGATTCTAATGCTATATATATAGCTTGTTTATTAATAATATTATCTTGTCTAGAAGAAGGATTTTACTGATTAATAAGATTTTGTATATGAGCTTGTTGTAAATTATACCAATAATTAGAATTTAGATAAGTTTTTTAAAAACTATCGGTAATCATCCTGTCGCTAACTGATTGTTTTGTTTGTCATCAATGTGTGTATAGATTTATGGCGGCACTTGAGGTTACCTTTTCGTTCATTTGCTGAACAAGTGTTGCATAGTTAATTGGTTAATTTTGGGTAAAAATTTCATTGAAAGTGTTTTGAATTATTCGCATGTGTCTGCTGTGAACATGTTAGCAGTGTATAACATAGCTTAAAGTAAAGTACCAGAGAAATGAACACAAATTCATAAAAGTATAGGAATGCACTTGAAAACCAGCATCGACAAATTTCTAACCAGTTTGTAAACCAGTCAGAAAACCATTTTTTTTTACAAAAATAGATTGTTTCGGAACAAGTTAATACTAAAGTGTGAATCGATTTTACATAATTAATAAATCTATTAAAGTTCTCTACATATGTCTCTGCTTTTAAATGCAAAATAGCAACATCTTAACTTGTCTTTATGTATCTATATATATAAATATCCATCTTTTCTAACCCTTAAAAGGATCCAAATAGATTTGTTACACGTCCTCATATTAGTTCTAGTTACGATTAGATATTTGAATTTGTGTGTTCTCATCATGAACTGACATTGACTATAATATAAGAATACTCTGTGGCCATATTGATGAGTGAATTTCGCCCAAAAACACGAAAGGCATTAGCTTGCATATGAAGTTCTGCCACCAGGTTAGGGTTACAATTTATGCAAAATGTCAATTTTTCCTTGTTTTATATAATCTACATTGAACATTTGACACACTAGAAATTATCAATCTTACTCAATACATGCGAAAAGCAATTTATCGCTATTATTTTCAACGTTTTGAGCAGTAGATTTAAGTGTTTTTACTGTTCCGTTATACATATTATTTGAAGGTCGTGTCTTTGATTCTGACTGACTTTTCTTCCTCCACCATACTCTTACCCATACACGTAGTGGGAGTTGGAGTTTGAACTGCAATCACTCTGATCTAAAACCCTCGCTCACTAACTGACTGAATGCTGAATACAACCCGCTTTCATTAAGCATTACAAACGTTGTGAATAATGTCAGACTTGTTACTGTACAGCTCTAGTGTTATGCTTAAAAATGACGTTTTTCTCAGTTTTTTTCAAACGTTAAGTGTGGAACTACTTTTCTTCAAAGTTTTACTTAAAACCTGTTTTCGTTCTAGTCGAAAATTCTTTAAAAAAATGTTTATTAATTTCTTGTCGACACCATATTCTTTCATGATTCGTTGATGCTTTCATTTTTGTTTCCTTCCTTTTCTGTTTCAAACAATTCTTCTAGTCACGTTCTTCACGAGAACACACTCAAGAATCAGAAACATTACGTGCTCGAATTATTGCTTTAGAAAGTGAATGTTCTGAATTGCGTGTTCAATCAGCTCGTATCAAAGCAGACAATCAAGCGTGTATGATTGTAAGTTGAGGAAATTTCTTCATTGGTTGGTATTGATTAATTTTAATGTCCTGTAAATATTATCATTATCTATTGTGTAATGGTTTTTAAACAAATTTATTTGAGTATTAACTAATTAAAGCACATTTCGCTCTGGATTTTATTATCATCATTATGTCTGTGTAAGAGATGGGACACTACTTTGACAACTTAACTGAAGCAGATGAGTTTCTTAGAGAACCATTCCCACCAAGCCTAAAACCTAGAAATATTGATCCACAAGACTATGGTAAAATATCAGAAGACAATGAATGTCATTGGAACTGATCTATGTAATTGAAGCAATGTCCATGAGTAGTTGTTCACTCTTACCCATTGTGTGTGTATCACAGGTTTGGAATTGGGATTTTTAGAATCCTAGGTAAACTATCTTCTATTCGTAGCAGAATATCCTCTTTTGCAAACAAATCCATATCTCGTGAAATCAACGAGTACAATTTCACTAGAAGAAGTTATCAACATGCAATTGTCTAAGAGTAAATAATGAATTTATGAAAAAAAGCGTTAATAATTCGCGATTGATTTTTCGAATTCCTTCTCGATCTACATTTAAAATTTCATTCACAAATAGAATTATCATGTTTTCTTGAAAAGATATTAAATTTCATCAAACAAAATCTTATGTTTGCATAAATATATTCTTTCTGCAATTCTGTAATGGTGCAGAAAATTTATAGCTCAGGTGGATGATTATGGTTGGCTTTTATTTCGCTGAACTGGGATGTTTTGGTTGTAGAGATTTCATTGTTCTTTTGAACAGCATCATCAACACAAACTTTTACCTGAAGGACAACAATGAAATTGCTTCAGTTCTGTCAACCAGGCAGTTTATGGGTAACCTTTCAAAAAAAAAATCAATCAAAATACTGCTTACGTACTTACCACCTGTTCCCTCCAATAATGCATTAGCCGTCGACCAGCATTCGCCAGCCTACCCTATCCTGGACCTTTTTTCTAGTTCTGTCCAATTTTCGTTCATTCTCCTCGTGTCTGTCTCCATTTCTCGGCGTAATGTGTTCCTTGGCCTTCCTCTTTTCCTTTGACCCTGAGTATTCCAAATGAAGGCTTGTCTTGTGATGCAGTGGGGTGCTTTCCTCAATGTGTGTCCTATCCACTTACAGCACTTCTTCCTGGTTTCTTCTTCAACTGGAATCTGGTTTGTTCTCTCCTACAGAAGGTTGTTGCTGATGATTTTTCTCAGTAAAATGGTTAACTGATTAAGTTTGATTGTGGCTAGCGGTATGTAATCGAGGATATTTGTTTTGTTTTACGTAAGACATGTCATACCCGTTGAGCAGCTTGATGGTTATCCAAATTTTGTAGCTGAATTACTAAAATAACACATTGACATTCGAAAAGTTCAAATTCTCTAGTGTAAACACCAACATTGAGATACAAATCTCACCTACAATAAAGTTCTTATCGTAGATTTCAAATTAAACTAACAATTTCAAACTAAAAGTAAAAACACAATTTCAAGATAATTTCGTTCAAATTGAGAACACCTATGTTGATCAAGGTTAATCGACTGTATTCGATAATTGAAGAAAAAAAAATTCAAAAAAACTTTTACAAATAAGATAATTAATTGACTGTTCGCAAAAATGATCTACAGTCAAATAAAGGAAAAAGTGATAGTCAAAAAGAAATCTCATATCTCTTTGTATGTAGGTAAAGTTCAGCGAATAGTAGATACAATGATTTTAAATCTATTTGTTTGCATTTAGAGAATCTATTTCTGATTGTTGTACATATGTGTGTGCGTGAGTGTATGAGTATCTTTCTATTGTTCCTCATGGTATCTCACACTTACATTTATACATCAAGAGCATGAACAGTATACAGACAAATTGTTTTTTGTTCTCGTATGTAGGAGTTTGTTATGATTGTTCTGATTATCTGTACATAGACAATAATTTAAAAATCATAAAATATTGGAAAGTTGTTTCGTCTTAGTATGAGATTATTCAACACGACACATCTATGACATTATTATGAATCGAACCTCTAAGTCTTTCAGGTTTTACAGTGAGCAAGAAACCTTTCACCCGTTGAGTTGTAATCTAGCACAATTTACATTCGCAAGTTTGAGTTGTTTTGTATCAAAGTGTCTAGTTCTCGTCTGTCGCTTCTCACGGGATATAGCTCGCTGGCCTAGTGTTTATAGAGTTTAGTAGAAATAAGATATTTCATAGTTTCTTGTTTGTTGAGAAACTAATTACTCTGGGTCAAATGATTACTGTACCTCACTGTCGATCTTCTCACTAAAATATCTAATTTAAACTTGTTTATAAGAAGCTCATATACTGTATTGTATGACAAAAGTTTTTTTAAAACTTTAATAAAAGGAGAAATAAAATTTTGTTCTGTACACTTTTCATCTGTAGACGGCTAGTATGCTGAGTCGCAATCTCTAAAACAAAGTTTGATTGTGTCTATTTTGAATTTCCGACATCATTCCGGTTTTTTTTCTAAATCATGAACTGCCGAACGCTGTCTTCATTGCGATTATTACTTAAAGCTGTACAGTCGAATGGCTTTCTCACATTTCGAAGTTTTCGAATTTGAAATTATGTCTAATTTGTTTGTGTATATCACTACTGCTTGATCACTGAATTTATTTAAACTTCATAATAATGACATGTTTTAGATCTTCATATGAGTCATCTATTTCAAGAAAAATTATAGTTTTCTTTACTGTTTTATTCAAATTTCTGTCTAGCACAATGATCTTATCACGACCTACCTAGTTTGGTCACTTCTGAACACATACTCAGCCACTGTAACAGACCTATATATATATATATATATACTTGCACTGTATCGGCTTCGAGTTAGGGCCCGTGTTGATATTTCTATCGGTAACTTCAAATTGACTCGAACACTATCCATGCTCTCAGAACTCCTCTTGGATTCTTTGGATTTAATCGTTTCAAAATTGTAAACTTTTCCCCAAACTGAGTTCATATATGCTATTTGTACAAGTGACAACAATGTCGTGTCATTTTTATTGCCAGTTTTTATATTCAAGTGTGAAAAAAAATGCAACACATATACTACTACTACTACTACTACTACTACTACTACTACTACTTATAAAACTTTATTGTCTTTTTTTTTTACTTCTAATTAGGATCTTCGAAGAACTAATGAACAATTAACTGAATCACAAGAACAAGCAACTAATTTACAGGAAGAATTAAAAGCATTAACAGTTAAACATACTAGAGAAATGGAAGTTTTACGAAAAGATCGTGACCATGCTGTACATGTAAGTGTTTGTTACTTGTTTTATTTTATTATAATTTCTGTAATTAATTAGTTAATTAATTAATTAATTCAGTAATTGTTTGATCAGTTTTTTCTGTGTGTAGAGATTAACTTAATAATTTTTAAACTATATTCGTTTGAACTTAATCAGACATAACTAGCGTCTTCTAGATGTTCCTGAGAAATCGTAACTGTGTTTCGGTTCCGTATGCATTAATAATGAAACACTCTTCACTGATGTCAATTAATCATCGTCGGATTGTGTCACAGATTCAATGAAGTCGAACTTATACCATGATACATCGATTCAGTTTAGTGTTCTCCACAAGATCTGAATATCCTGGGTTCGATCTAGGGTGAAATGATAGATGTGCACTGTTCTATAGTCTCATTCTAGGACTAAAAATGTCTTTAGTACTTCTTTGTTGTAAATGGTACGTCAATCGATATCACTCTGTGACGAATAGAACCTAGTAAAGCACTTTCATATTGAATATGATACAAAACTGCATCGAGAGCACCATTGGGTTATTTTCTTTACAGTGTCTGTTGATGTTTCAAGTTACGAGTAGTTGCACCATATTGTATACTTCTAACCATGATTCCTGATGAATTTACTTATGCCATTCCAATGCAGCTCTCATAGTTTAGAAATGTACTGCCTCCTTGCCCTTCCCATCCATCCTTAGCATTTGAAAGTTGTACGCGGTGTAGATCCTGCTAGTTCGAGATTTTAAAAACATAATCAATCCTTGGACTTCGGTGTTTCAAGATGTTAACACTAATTATGAACATCATTCACCAGGTGTCAGCAGTCTTTCAGAGACTTCGATAGTCGAACAGAGGATCGTCAAATGTCATGAGCTTGACATTGCTTCACAAGCATTGGACGCTATTACTCCCACGGATACGTTGTACAACCGGCATTTACTGTCAAAGCAACATCATGATGGCTTCAATGACGGTTCAAATCAGTGTGAGAATTTATGGCTTTCATTATGTATCGACTCCTTACGTTTATGAATCTAACAGATGATCACATCTAAGTCATCTAAGTTTCTCTGGTTAACATTTCTCAGTTCACTGTTAAAAAAATACAGTCAATGCATTGAAATGGATCATAACTACTAATTCCAGTCGATCATATTGACTGCATTTCTTTATTCATTTACTCAAGTGGTCATAATCTATTTAGGGCTTAACACAAATAGGCGTTAGTCCAAGTTCTTATATGACATGATGAATTTAAGCAGACAGATATCAAGAGAGCTGAAGTAGTCGTTGTAGCATTGGTAACAATAACATTAAGATTATAGATTGAAGCGGTCGAATATAACTGTATGCATGAATACTGGAATTCAAGATCTAGAGTAGGATAAGGTATGAATACATAGCAGTAGGTTGTGGGCCATTGTGCTCAACACTACGGTGCTTATTAACATGTTTTCTATCACAAAACTTGTCAGTAATATTGTAAACAATAGTTCTTTTTGATTAATTGTCTAGGTGATATCAAATCATAATGAGCATCAAATGGAACTGTGTTCAACTTTATCGGTAGTAGAAACACTTTTTTAAGATAAATTTTTTTTCTACCGTATAACTGAGATTGAGGGAGTTGCTACTGACAAAACCAGAGTACACTTGATCAGCTCTCATATACCTAGTATGCTATGCATGGACAGCTACAGCTGTAGTCGGAATTCTCTACTTCAGGTGGTGTCCGTCAGGGATGTCCACTTTCCCAATTCTTGTTCAATTTTGTCATAGACATGCTACTAGACAACCTTATCCTCATCTAAATATTCAGGAGTAGACCTTTTACCAGGAGGCTTGCTGATTGACTTAGAATATGCCGATGACATAGTTCTATTCGGTGAAGACGCTGACTAAATGCAGAGTCTTCTGACCACCCTAAGCAACAATGCAAGCATGTTCAGTATGCGGTTTTCCCCCTCGAAATGCAAAATGTTACTTCAAGATTGGGTTTCATCGGCACCTGAATTAGTGATAGGGAATGAAGTAGTCGAGCGTGTTGACCGCTTCACTTATCTTGGGAGTCTGATCAGTGCTGATGGCCTGGTGACTGACGAAATCTCGGCACGGATACAGAAGGCTCGATTGGCTTTTGCCAACCTGCGTCAGTTATGGCGCAGGCGAGATATCCGTTTGCTGGCTAAAGGACGAGTGTACTGCGCGGCAGTTCGCTCCGTGCTACTTTATGGCTGTGAAACATGGCCAGTGAGAGTAGAAGATATTCGTAGCTTACTTGTTTTCGATCATAGGTGTCTTCGAAGCATTGCTGGTGTATCATGGGACAATCGAGTAAGGAATGCTGTCGTTAGGAAACGAGTATTAGGTAGGTTCAGTCAGCTGCAACGTAGAACTTCGTACGTAAGTACATCAGTTCATGTTACCATACCACATCAGCACAGAGATATAATTTTCAATTCAAATCCAATAGTAGAAGAGGTAGTAAAGGTAAGTATTATGTTGGGACGGCAGATCAACAGATGAAATATTGAAACTTCATCAGTTGATCTGGTTGGGATATGTGTTGCGTATGCCTAACTACCGACTGCCTCGTCAGACCAAAATACGACAGATATTCTTGAAGTCACTGACAAATGCACGGAGTCATGTCGGTAGTTGTCGACTACGTGGTGGGGGTCCGCGAGATGTTAGTAATCGATGGTTAGAGACCCTGAATGACATGGCTCAAAACAGTTTGCAATGTCGCCGGTGCATTCATTCTTTGTGTTCTCTCAAATCCTAAACTTTTTCATTCATCATTACTTTATCTTTATCTTTTTAAGTTTATTTCACTAGATTCTACTTCTTGAATAATATTTTCTAATCCTAACCCCTCCAACTACTGCTAATACCTTTACTACCTCTACTACTATGGTATTTGAATTGACAATTATATGTCTGTGGTAGTGTGGTATGGCAACTTGAACGGATGTACGTTGGTACGTACGAAGTTCTACGTTGCTATTGATTGATTGATGTGTATGTCGTATGATATTCAAATGTTTCAAATTAGGAGTATACACTGTTAAGTCGCCTCCCGCAACTGGAGTCGTCTTGTTGTCTTATCTCTAATATAGTCAATCAGTAATGAAATCTACCATACATTAATTGTATATTACAAACACAAAGAAAAGAAACGAAAAGCATTAAGAATAGATTGAGCACAATATGGTGTGTATTCTATGCACACTTATATTAATAAACAAACAAACCAATTTCCAGGATTTAAGTGTAAAAAATAAATAAATACACAGAGTTGGAAACATGTAAATAATGTAATTGTGTATGTTGGGTGACCAATACACATATATATATGTATGTATATATCTATTTGTGTATACATTGTACAGATAGCATGTTCTTGATTAATTGTAAAAGAAATTTTCCAATTCATTTTTCTGTGGGAATTTTCTTTGAAAAAAATTTCTTATAAGAAAGTACTAAAATGGAGTGTAAGTACTTGTTGAGAAAATGAAGAAAAAAAAACATCTACTTAACTTATGATTATCAATAAATTGGTATTAGTTTAGTAGTAGTGTGAGTAGTAGTAGTAGTAGTGGTAGTAGAACATAACAAGTGAGATTGTTTTTTCTTTACTTTTGTTTTTACTACAACATTTAATCCATAAACAAAACTACACTTGTAGTTAGTTAATGAACCTTCATTGAGTGACTTACTCTTTGAATTATGCAACTTGAAATTATGCTTTTGGAAAACATTATTAACACCTAATCCGCAATGTCAAGTACAAACAAAAAAAAAAGCCTTATTATTATTTTCTAATTTAGTCAAGCGAATACAACACCATTAAAATGCTATCCACTTAGAATGTATAATTGTTTTCATTATTATTTCACCATAAATCATCGCATCCATCTTTAATCGTTTAAAATTTACTTCAATTTGAAGTTTGTTTGTGGATGGAGGAGGATGGTCCTAGAACTTCGCACATATATAAATGAATGTTTTGTGGTTGAATTGTTTTTCAATTTTTTGAAATCAGTTTCTTTGTACCTTGGTTTGCAGAACAAGGATAATGTGCGTGGAAATGTAGTGAGATCGAGTGATATCTGAATGTGATTGCTATTTGTGTTCTAGTTTTCTTCAGTCGATCAGTCAATCAGTCAGCTATAACGTAGAACCTTGAACGTACGTACGTACATCATTTTAATTTGTCATACAGGATTAGCACACAGAGATCAGATTGTCAATTCAAATACCATAGTGGTAGGAGTGATCTAAGTGTTATCGGTAATGGAGACGATTAGGGTTCGCAGACATCATTCAAGAAGTATCATCCAGTGAAATGAATTTGAGAAGAGAAACATAAAGGTTATGAGGAATTCAGAAGATTATGATTTGAGAGAAGTTAAAGAATAAATGCACTTGCGCCATTGCAAACAATTTTGAGCTATGTTATTCAAAGTCCAACTATCGGTTACTAGGGGCTCCTGCTCCTACACCACAAAACATTGCTCATCGAGGTAATTGGCTGTTGGGTATACATTACACATGTTCCGACAACCTCAACTGATGAACGTTCATTACTTCTTCAGTTGATTTCTTTATCGGGCACCTACAGTTTATAGTTATTCATCTTAAGTTATACCTTTTTTAAATCATAAACTGACGCACACACACTAGGAAGAAGTATAACACTGCTACTTTTTTTATTAGTTCATGTATTTCCAGAAACAAGATATTTCTCAGCTTATATACTTTATTACTACTTGTTCTTAATTTTGAAAAAAATGATTTAGTATATTTGGCATGTTTCTTTTCAATCTATCGTTGATACGAATGGTTTTCTTATGTTAGTTAGTTAACCCGTTAAGATTCATTTCACACACTTTACATTTGTTTTCAATTCTGAAACTGCCTTCATTTAGCTTAAGTTATACCTCAACGATTCTATTCAAAGTCTTTGAAGTTTTATGAAGATCACGAATTAACTGAGCTTCGACAATTATCGAAAATCAAAGCAGGCTGGATTGCTATTGCATGCTGGTTGGTGTGAGACACCTAAAGGTCCTAGTTTCAATCTACGACAAGGTCGTGGGTGCATCGTGTTTAGGATTCCCGTGATTAAGCGATACTGATGTCCACTGTTTTCAAGTATTCACTGTTTTTCTAGCTTGAGTCGCTTCGTGATCTTGATAGTATCCAAGTTTTTCCACAAATCTCCTATACTGCTGAAAGGACATTCTTGTAAAAGCAGTTTTCACCAGTAATATTTAGTTGGTTGTCGCGCTATTGTGCGAATTGATTAAAGTTCAAGTCGTACCATTTGACATCTGCTAAGTAATTCCATTAGTTAATTCGCAGCAAGCATTAACGGCTCTGAGTTCAACCCCTGACAAAGTCCCTATTATACATTGTTTTATAGTATGATCTTAGTACGATACTAGCTGGCCAACTATCCCATGTTTTTAACAGTGATGATTCTGTGATGAATATAACCCAAAAATCGAAAATTACATTTACAAATGATAATTCATTTATGTGTATTTCTGTATTCATCGAGGTACTGGAAGAGTTGAATGGTTCTATGGGTGGTAAACGACGAAGTCGGGTCAGTTCAGGTTCTGGTACTATTACAGCGGCTGCAGCTGCTACTGGTTCAACCGAAGTGTTGGCGCGTTATCAAGAAGTTCAGGAGATTGTTCGTCGGCTTACCGCTGAAAATAAAATATTACGACAGCAAGTAGAAGAGGCTCAAGAAGAACTACTTACACAGTCACTTCAACAAGGTCGAAGTTTGATACGTTCATCAGAAAAAAGTTGGGCTTCTGAAATAGATAATTGTACTAAAGAAGAAGTAAGTTTCTAATTAATTTTCTATCATATTTGCACTATAAACTCAGTGTACTCACCCTAACAAAAGCAAAGTTATGTAGTAGCTATCAGTGGAATCTCGAAGTATGATCATCAACACTGGGATGCAGGTTTGTTCAACTGATGAGTCCTAAACAATACGAACCCTGGATTCTCTTACCAATCACCATACAACTATGGTTGAAAATTTTTATGACCGATGATATCAATTAAAACGTTTGCATTGAAGATGCACATATACCAAACTATGCTGGTCAGTCGCAACGCTTAAGAGCTTTAAAATTGAATTATAAAAAATCACTTATTAAAATAACTCATCTAACTCATTCACATCAATTTCAAGTTTGTATATTCAATTTTAAACTAAATTTATTTCTATGATGGTCGTTGAAGTATGTCGTGTGTGTGTGTGTGTATGTAAGTAGATATGTACGTACGTATATGATTCGAACCTACCATGTTTGAGTTAAGAATTATGACTTTTTTCTTCTTCCTATGAACCGCTATTCTACCGGCCTACATAACCTAATGTAACATTACTCGCGCATAGAATAGAATGTATTCACTGTTACCATTATTTTTGTTATAAATTGATTTTATACCTGTTTGCAATGGACTAGATTTAAAATAAAGTGAATCAGATTGTGATCGGATAAAATTATTCATTGAAATCATGATTCGATGGTCTAACATTGATCGATTCATGATTTCAATGAGTAACTTAACAATTTTAACAACCCCGTAATGTGATAAAATTATTCACCAAAGCTTCTATTACCACTTGCTTCTCCTGTCATGTGGTGCAATCAACTAAATAGATAGTATATTTACAAAAATATATTTGGTAAACTATTATTTCTGATGTAGCGACTAAAAAGATATTTAAGCATTGTTATAAATATTTGGTGGTTAGTATTGTTTGCCAGAAAACTTTGAACCTAAGTGTCGTGCTTGTTATCACGTATTAGTAAAGCATAACTGCAATCTTAATGGAACAAATGTTCTCTGTAGAATTCACGCCGGCGCTGCCTTGTTTCATAGTCTGAGCCATCACTAGTGAACTATTTCGTTCATGTCTTACGTTTTATGGGACCAAGGTATTTATCGTTGTGCTTTTGTTATCTCATTATGAATTATACGGGTCTAGCTGAATATTTAAAAAGATGACTTAATATAAATTACTTTGAAATCATGAATCGATCAGTGTTAGACCACCTTTAGAAACCTGGAGGCACTGGGTGACCCTCTCGTCTTAGTACGGGACTCATCAGTAGTGCGCATCCGTGACCCCTGCTCGCGGGAATCAAACCCAGGTCCTCCGGTATTGAGCGCGAACGCCTAACCTCTAGACCATTAGGCCAGGATCCAATGGTGTCAATGTCTAACTCCGATCAATTCACAGTCTTGTGCGAGGAGCCAGTAGTCGTGGATGCACACTGCTGATGATTCCCATACCAAGATGAAACGGCCGTCCATTGCTTCCAGGTTTCTAATGGTGGTCGAACATTGATCGATCCGTGATTCCAAAGTAACTTAACAATATACACAACCCTATACTCAATTTAAATTGCCCTTAGATCTTGATTTTATTCTAAAATCAGTGTCAGCGGAGACCATCCTACCTCACGATTGCTAAATAAAACAAAACCTGCATTTTTTTCTCTTACATGAACCTCAAATTTTCAAAAGTATTCCATTTGACTGAATCGCTGGACAACTATCTTTCTAAATATCCCATGAATACTACATCAACGGATTGTCATAACTTTTATTGTGTGTCGTTATAGACGGCGTTAAGCTGTGTATGCGATATCTTCGGGTGGTTACCATTTCCTTCAATATTCAAACAGATATATTTGTGTATACTTGTATGGTGCAATAATTCACTTCATTGATCAGAATGTTGTGTATGCATTGATCATGTGATGTTTGATGCGTGTGCTTCTACATCGTCTTACACATACACTTACGTGCGTGTACGTATGTAAGAGAAGAAGAGTATTTTATCTTTGTGCTATAAAAGCATACATCTCTATCTCTCTCTCTCTCTCTCTACTCTTAGTTTAAACAAAGCATGGTAAAATAGTTTCAATAATTAATGTGTTGATGTCATTTTTAATGTTGCTGTTCATCTTATTATCTTTCGTAAAGATGTTGATAAATAAGCAGAAAAAATCAATGAAGTCTCTATCGGTAAAGTCTCTACTCTTCATATTATTATACTTAATGTATATATATATATATATATATATATATATATCTTCAGATCATTGTTAATAAATTGTTAATTTTAGAGGTATTGTACCCATAAAATGATCGTTTAAGGTTTTCTTAAAAAGAAAAGTGTAGAGCTTTGACTTTGTAGCAGTTTACGTATGTTTGGTCTATTGGCAAAAATCACTCTGCTTTCGTTCTGTATGTCAAAAACTTAAACTTGCTTGACTAAGTTTTCAACTATCAGACAATAAAACCAGTATTGTTCTAAGTACCGAAATCTATACTTGAATCAAATATTGAATGAGTTGGTTTGAGGTAGTTGTGCTAGTCGGTACTCTACAATCTTGATCAGAGTGCTGCGTAGGGACGTAATCGAACCGTTTTACAGTCTGAAACGTTATTGCGCTATTTGGGTCGTGATTTGCCAATTGGGTTGAAATGTATTTCCAATTCATTTATCATTGATCGTCCTATCCGAAATCTGGTATCACTTTTTCAATATATATATATATATATATATATATATATATATATATATACCATGGGAACTTGACAGAATAGCAGAATGATAGACTCATGAGAAACAGTTATTCTTTTGCAAATTTGTCAACTATCTTCATTATTTCTCATATATTTTTCTTTCACACTTTACCTATGGATTTGTATTAATCTCTGTAAATGACTGATTTATTAATTTTTAGGTTGTTGAATTATTATCTAAAGAAAAGTATGCCAATGAACAATTACGTAAATATATTGATGATTTAATTACACGAATCATTGAACGACATCCATCGTTATTGGAGATTGCAAGTGGAGGCGGCGGACCATAGATTTATGCTGTTTGTCTCAATGGATGTGTGCGTGCGTGCCTCTGTCGATAGGAGGAGTGTATGTATGTATGACCGATCAGTTCGATTACGCAATTAACCAACCAACCAACCGACCAACTAACTAACTAACTGATTTTTTTTTCTGTTATTTGGATAAAACTATCATACTACAACATTGAACATTGTAAAAGAGATATTTTTATATACCATTTATATATAAATTTTATTTAACAGAGAATAAATATCTATCAGCAAACAACATATCCCCTATACAAAAATATTACTTGATGATATAAGACTGGTTTTTGTACATTTCTTTAGCTCATTCTAATTGTGTGTAACACACTCCTTTGTCTTTCGTGTACTGCTCATGTGTGTGTTTTTTTTCAATTTTTTCTTTAAAAAGAAATCAAGCAAACAAATAAACAATTATTTTCTTTGTACTATTTCTTGTGTACGTTGTTTTCTCTTTTTTTCTCTCTCTCTCTGTGTGTGTGTGTGTTTTTCTTTGTTTTCTTTCTGCTTTTGAAAATGCACTCATCATCTTGAACTTGACCGGAACACATTGGCACTTACTTGCACATGGTACCACTACTACTACTATTACTTCTAATAATAAGATTAGTAATCATATTAAACTGATAGTAGCTTGTTCAACATGTTTACACTGAGATCTAATGAAGAAAGCATGCAAAACAATTTGTTTATTTCAGAATATTTTATTACATAATTAGCGCGCGCACACACACGCACACTGATCTTTTTTTTTAAAGATAATGTAAACATTTTGTGATCATCGTTTCATGTGTTTGTGATGCTCTAATGTTTTTTTCCTCTCTCTCTCTCTCTGTACTACTACTACTACTCCTCTTGTTTCATGGTCATATGCCTTTTGTGTGTGTGCGTGTGTTTGTTTCTCCTCTTAACTATTCACTATTACTACTGCTACTGCTAATTAAACTAGAGTTAGTTACTAGTTTCTTGTAATTATTTTTGCTCACAAAAAACAGGAAACAAATACAGCTTATTTCATGATTTTGTTTCCCCCTCCCGCCCATCGCCATCCGAAAAATCTGGCGGATTTCAAACAGCTATATCTCATCATGTTTACTTACTTTTTTTTTTATATATACCCGATCATCTACAAAATTCTTCGTTACTTTATTTTTTAAATGACCATAGTTGAAAGTGTTGTATTCCTTGTATTCCTTGCGTTTATCATGTCAGATTTTGTGTGTTTTGTCTGTGAACATACCACTGCTACTACTACTACTACTAGTAGTACGATGCCTTTTCCCTTGTTCATCAAAACTTCCGTTTCATATTTAAAATCTTACTAATTAATCATGCAATCCTACTTGAAATTATTCTAATTCTTGCTTCTTCTTCTTGTACATTCTCCATACATACTGTCACGTTACCAAATGCTCAAAAAAAGTAATCTGTGAAATGAATTCTTTGGTTTTACAATTACATCACTGTGTACACACATATCATATAATGCACATGTTTAGTGATAGCCACTACGTCGCCCTTCCTCCTCTCATTTTAATCTAATCAGAATGGAATCAAGTGGAAATTCTTTTCTTTCATTTTTGTAATGACTTATTGATTTCTGCGTTCTGTTTTATTTTACTGTTGTCATATTATTGTACAATTGTGTAATGAATGAATGAATGATTGATTGATTGATTTCGGTTCTTTGATGATGCTTTTTTTTTTCAAAATTCCATTTCCTTTAGGTATTTTGCATGATGAACATCAAATGTGTTGCATACTTTATATATAATCACTTTCCCAATGCATACATATCAGACGTCTATGTATTTGTTTTTTTTTGTGTGATAAACCAGAAAAACACAACTACCGCCGATCCACTAACTAACTAGCTGGGCCGCCTTCAATTCTCTCTCAGTGTTAGGGTGGCATGTGTATGTGTCTCCCTATTCACCTGTTCCATCTTTCCGTTTTGTTTTGTTTTAAGTTAAAGAAAGTGCTACTACTACTACTATTACTACTACTACTACTACTAAATCACAGCATCATATCAATGTGTGTATTTTCTATTAAATTTTATTAGATTTTATTACTTCACGAATTAATCAACTATTATTCTTACTAATGAGTAGTATAGTAAGTAGTACAATGTCTGTTGGCTATCATCATGTAGTGTATAAAATCCAATGCATATGCATGAGAATGATTCTTTTGTATAGAAGAGACCTTTTGTTGTTTATTTTGTTTTGTGAATTCACTAACCCCATTCCATTGTATTTGTGATGGATGGAGATGTGGTTTTTGTATAAACATCAATTTGAAATTGTTCAATGTTCATCGAATCTATATACACAAATCAATAAGATACATATATTAAACAAACACCCTCATTGTTTTTTTCTTTTCCATTCAGTTTTGCTGTTGTCGTTGTTGTTTGTTTATCTTTTCTCCATTTGGTTTTTGTTTACCAGCAAATGTTTTATTTTTATTTTTACTTTATTTTTTATTGAATAATAGATTCTTTCCTTTATATACTATAATTATACATTATTGATGAATATGTGTGCTTTGCTCGTTGTAAGTGGGATTCGACTGGCACAACTCTTTGATTGCTTAATTGGTATGAATTTCCAGGGTAACAAACAGTTCACTCACTATGTTTTTTGTCAATCTGTTTATGCAATTTTCAATTGACTAGTTTCAAGATACGAAAGATCACTAAAATTCAACTAGGAGGAGTCCAAACGCACAAACGTTTTTTCCTTGGTGAATGGAGTTTCGCTAAAAATGCAAGATATAAACAATAGAGAGTAGAGAGAGGTAGTAGCAGCAAGGTACTGTTGGGGATGTTAGATCCCCAGAACTCGCTTGATAAATATCTTTATTTCGGATTTATTTCATAGACCGATCAGCTGACCTGGAGATCACATTTCCCACCACCAATAAAATCCTTGTCTGTGATTGGTTACTGTGTCATTTTTGTGATTGTCCCAAAGACGTCTCTATGGAGTATAAATAAACGCAATTTGAGTTCTTGGGTTCATTGTGTGCTGGCTGGGTGTTTGTAGAATACACTTTCTACTCTGTATCAAGACTTCTTGCTGGTACAATCGCTGGGACAATCGGATCACAGTAGCCTGCCTGGACGCTGGTTCATTTTTTTTTGTTCTGATTATTCGACTAAGGTGAACCCGTAATCGTTTTTTCAGCATACCTAGAAACTTTATCAGTTGAAGTGCTTGGGACATGTGTAACGAATGCCCAACCATCGCTTGTCCCGAAGAATGATGTCTGATGTGGCTTTAGGCTGGAAGAAAGCTAGTGGCAATTAAAGCAAAACATCTCACTGACAAGTAGACTGAGCCATGTTAATAAGTGTAGACTACTTGGTTAGCGTACGCAAGAGAGATAGTTTCAATGACATGGCTCCGAATCGTTTGCGATGGCACACATGTACCCATTTTTTCTTTTCTCTCAGATTTAAATCTGAATTCCTCAATACAAATTGATTCCACTAGGATATAATTGTCGAATAACATCTTCGATCCGTAATCTTTCTTATTACCGCGAATTCTTCTACTACTATGGGATTTGAATTAACATTTCGATCTCTCTGTTCTTATGTGGAATGGCAACTTGAACTGATGTACGTACGTACGTACGTACGCATTTCTACATTGGAGCTGACTGATTCACTTCGATGAAATTTAGCAGAACTGCTTGGAGCACTAGTGACGATTAGATTACTTTGTAAAATAGTGTAATCTCTTATCTATAGCTAGTCAATTTTGTATTGGATTGTGATTTTTTATACCAGTTCTAATATTCTTGTTGTTAGAAGTGGATGATTACAATGGAGGTATGTTTCACATGAGTGACGTAATTTTAGTTGTAGCCAGATCCTTCAAAAAACGACAGACATCAATGATTGTTAAGTGCCCTTAAAAACACATCAATCAAGTGTCCATAAGTACCAGTAAAAGATTTTGCCATTTGGCCTAAATTGGAACTTACCCGAAACGGCGGGACGAAAAAAGGATCTCATATTTGGATTGAATGATTACCTGTTGCTAAATGTAGCGTATTTCGACAGGCTTCCAGAAAATCAAGTTTATTCTGTCTTTCAGACACATTTTTTACTATAGAATGAAACTTCCATTCTTTGCTTCTTTTCTCTCGTAGCTCGAGGGTAGGGTAGTCTAGGTATATAGAAGAGGGCTAGTAAGTCAGTACCAAGGGTTTGAGTGGTAGATATATCACGCACACAGTTTATTTTGACATGTATGTGAATGTAAATGCAAACAATAGATTAAATTCTGTGTCAAGATTAGTCGTTTTCTCCCCTAAAGAAGCTTGTTTGCTTAAACTTGATATTTAATTGAGAATTTTCAGAATACTTTTCTACTTTGAACGGTTCAAAGTCATACATTCATACTTAAACTAACATGGGCAACTCCGGAGACAGCGTTATTGTTATCTTTTTGTTTATGTGAGCGCTAGCTATCTGTTAAACGTGAAATTTCAATATATCTCCTTTTGTATCATGGTTATAACTAGGAAAACGCTGGAATTTCGGACAAACAAAATACCAAAAAGCGCGGTCGAAAATGTGACATAAATATCTCTTATAAATCAATAGACATTTCAAAATTAATTCTTTTAGTCACTGTTATTCTCGTCTCTAGGTATGCTGGAAAAACGATTACGGGTTCACCTTAGTCGAATAATCAGAACAAAAAAAAATGAACCAGCGTCCAGGCAGGCTACTGTGATCCGATTGTCCCAGCGATTGTACCAGCAAGAAGTCTTGATACAGAGTAGAAAGTGTATTCTACAAACACCCAGCCAGCACACAATGAACCCAAGAACTCAAATTGCGTTTATTTATACTCCATAGAGACGTCTTTGGGACAATCACAAAAATGACACAGTAACCAATCACAGACAAGGATTTTATTGGTGGTGGGAAATGTGATCTCCAGGTCAGCTGATCGGTCTATGAA